AAAAAAAAAAAAAAAAAAAAAATGAATAAAACATACATACATACACACATAAATAAATTGAAAATAAATAAATAAATTGAAAATTAATAATAATAATAAAAATACTTAGCACTAAGTGTACATAGTTTTAGACACTATTTCCAATAAGAGTAAAACACAAAATTATAGTATTTTATTTGCACTGTGCTTAGTGTAAATAGAATTAAAAAAATAAATAAATAAAAATAAAAAACCTCTCTGAGATGATACGGAATACGAAATGTCAAAACATGACTTGGTCTCTTCAAAAACTAAATCTACTGTCCTTACTCTCCACACCGCTGTCTGAGTTATTAAACTTGGTTTCTAGGCTATTTGAACTTAATGTAAATAGACACTATTTATTTTTATTAACATTTGAGGGATCAAGTAAAAACAAAAATGTTTTCTCTTTTTGATTGTAAGCAGCTTTCATCCACAGTGCTGGTGAAAGTGCCCATCAGTGACATGAAACTGGATAGTACAAAAGCACGACTGAAGTAACATTTTTGCTCAGTCAAGTGTGAATCAGTTGACCTGACATATGTTCTTGCAAGACTCCGTGTTCTTTTTTAACAGCTGGAAATCCATTTTTCTGTCAACACACCACAAAAGAGAATAAAACACAAATGATAGACACTTTTACAACATCTAATGCTCGCATAATTCATATTCACACACTTTAGAGTTTTCATTCAGCTAGCTTAGCATAACTCATCCAATAACACCCCCCACAGCTCATGCATATCTGGAACGTAAAAATAAGGACGCTCCCCATCACTGTAATTCTGCTTGTCATTTGTATTATTGTCATCATTATAGTTCTCCTTTCTTCAAGCCTGATTTGAAATTCCAATGCTTTTTTTGTCACTGTTTTCCACTCTTTATCTAAACACGCAGCCATTTCCTCAAGGGGTTGGTATTTATAGACCAAGAAATGTACATGGATTATTTACTGTCATCATATCATCCTAGCTGTCAAGTAGCATCTTTCGCAGACTAAACCTTTCCCATATCTGTGTACTCATAATTGATTCTGTGTTATATCACCACCAAAATACCATGGAGATAACCGCGCTGCCGTATACACTGCTCAAAGGCCCCTGAGAGATCGGAAACGCTGTCACATCTTATCGCAACATTTTGAACAGTGAGGTGAGAGGAGGGAACAGAGTAAAAACAGTGTGCTCTGCTGAAACTAGAAATAGCATTGTGTTGCCATGGCAAACATTCAAATGAAGCACTCCATTATCATTGAGTGTAAAATGAGGTTTTGTAATGAAATGGATGGAAGCCGTGATATGAGCGAGTATAATTGTTGACTTTGCATTCAAAAACCGAAAGTATGTGCACAACAACAATATGGTATGAATGATTACGTTTTGGAAGAAACGTAATCATTCATAACATCCCAACACGTCAATTTGACATTTCAATTTAATTTAAATTCTGTTAGTCATTGTGAATGTTCTGCATATGACCTTTTTGTTTTTTGTCACAAATGTTGTGTTATATAGTGCTATATAAATACATAAAGAAAGAAAGAAAGACGTGTTTCATCATGCAATGTTGGTTTTGTTGGTTTTAAATACCTATTCAAATTGGTCTCAGATTGTTGTTATTATTATTATTATTATTATTATTATTATTATTATTGTTGTTGTTAATCCCTTCAAAATAAAAGTCCAATATCATCATAAGCCAGATTTTTATTTTAATTTATTATTTAAATTATTATTATTATTGTATATGATTATCACTTGTGTAGCATATAAATAATAGTGTTTATAATAAATAAAGATTTTTAAAGTCCCCAGCCACTGCCAGCATTTTGATAATTTTCTCAAAATTTAATGGCCCCAGAATATTTTGTTGTATGAATATCTGAACATGTAATATGTCTAGATAGATAGATAGATAGATAGATAGATTTGATTTATATGCTGTTTAGTGTGTAATTTAAAACAATCTTTCTGTTATTCAGGTAAAATAATTTAGATTTATGAATTGACAGAGTATGGCACATGACTATCCAAAAATGGAAGCCCTTCCGTGCCCCAGTTCTGCCCCTGTGGGTAAGAAATTAAAAGCAGCTGGAGATCGTCTCTCCTCAGCAGTCACCTACATGACCATGGAGCATCAAATAAGCTTTAAAGTAGGCTGCTTTGCCTCAGTAAATAAGATTAAAATAGTTCAGATGAACACCAATGTTAAGTAAGAAAGGTATTAACAGGTATAGATGCTCAGCATGAAATAACATCCAGGACTTTTGTTCAGTGATGCTCAACTTGTTCTCACTCCCAAGGTGTCGAAAACTGAAGCCTGGTCAAACATCACTGTTAAGTACTTCTACGCATCGTAGCACTAGAAAATCTTTGCCGTCAATACACAGGCGAAGGACATGGGAATTAAAACACGTTCAAAAATTACAGCCTGAAGTATCTTCATGTCTACTTTGATTGTGAAATGCCATAGGCTCCCATGTGTCTTGTGCCCAATTGCATTCAGATGTATCTTTTGAATGAGATGTGACTGCGTAAATGGACCAGGATCATTTTCAATTATTAAAATTTAAGTTTTATTCTGTTCTTCATATAAAGATATTGTATGGCTTCAGAAGACTTGGAATGCAACATGAGTTAGTAATACTTTTAAACTTTTTTTTTTTTTTTGCAATAAATTACTGCAGGCAAATAATTAAATGCATCTAGATCTGATGCACAAGGCAAGTGACTGAAAGCAATGGAGTGCCTAGTTTGTCAATACAGAGATGCCAAGTGTACCTTTAGCATCTTAATAATGATGCACAGAACGGGTTGCACTACTTTATCAAGGCCTGTACTGGTAGATAAATATTAAATAGCGGGTATGTAATGGTACACAACAAATTAGGTTTATGGTGCTGTTGTAATTTGGGGAAGCGATTTTTTGATGCAACATATTTTAGCCTGTACTGAATATATATTTATATTCATATTGAAAATGTTACACCTCAAGTAAATAGTCAACCAAATTCAAATTAAATTTAGCCAGACCTACCTATCTACCTACCTTCCTTCCTTCCTTCCTGACCGACCTTTTTTAATCAGTTTCATAATTCAACCTTTCGGTGAAACATCAGACTTCTCTCTGATGATGCATGCAGTGCTTTTCTTTTAGTGTACATTTACATTACAACAATTGTACTCAAACGGAAATGTTTTGTTTTTTTTCCTTTGCATTCTTGAAAAGTTTCCCATACAGATAACAACATGGTCAAAACTATCCCAATTCACACAAATTTGCAAAAACAACTAAAAACAGTAGTATGCATGTTACTTTGTAAAGAAAGACTATGCACCTTCACACATATGCATTTCTAACGCCTGAAAACGTAATATGCATGCACATGAGGTCAGTGTTTTCACAAATTCACATTTTCATAGTTTACACAGAGATGATAATGGTATCATTTAAAAAAAAACTCGTACTTTGAAACCCCTTTACAAAAGTGTATGTTTTTAGGCCCCCAAAACGCTGTTGTTTAATAAATTAACAGCTAAAACACATAACATGTTTTATGTTTTTTGTTGAAAACTGTAAAGTGCAAATACCCTCTTAGTCTGCTTAAACCCTGCCCTCGCAAGCTCGCAATCAGATTTGCATCAAAATCTGTGTGCAATACACGCATATCAAAATTCAATCAATAAGCTACTTATGCTTCATCGTGACTTTAAAGCTTACAAAAATGTCAACTTAGAAACTAGACAACAAAGAACACATAAAACACAAGGGCTTATATACACAGGGGTTATCAAGACATGTGCCTACTCTTTTATGAGTACTGCGACTTCGGACATACTTCTTTTGTCATCTGCTATACAGTAGGGAAGCATGCAATTTTGTATGCAGCCAATCTGTGCCCTTCAATATAATGTGCTGCCTGATCTATTCTACATACTTGTGTCCTACCTAAAGTGAATTTGAATTAATTTGCAAAATAAATTTTAACCCAGCAAAATTTCTTGACCAACAAATAATTTCCTAGAATATCATGTAAAAGCTCCTCCCAAGTGCACAGGGGAAGCCCATTAGCCTTTTCCTAAACAGACTGAGCTAACGAGGAAATTAAGTCTTTATTAATTCACTCAGAGTACCTGGCAAATGAAGAAAAGAAAAACAGTTTGAGTCTCCAACTGGCTCAAAGGTTCATTTATAGATACAGAAAGAGGCAAAGAGCACCTAATCTAGTATTTTGATACACCTGGATTCAAGCCAGCTGTTGCAGAGGCTTGTGGGATTGAATCTTTATGCAGATAATTGAGAGAAATAGATTGTGTGACAGCAGAAGTTTGAGGCATATGCAGGAGACCAGCCTGGTCTCATGTTTATACGTAGGTATTAATACGTAACATTTACAAGCACAAAACGTACACTTTTGTACGTTTTTATTCATGCTAAAACGTACAACTTAGATGTATTTCAACGTTTAAAACGTACAAATCACTACGTATTTTTAGCTAAAAAACGTAAAAATATTTACGTATCTTTTATATCAAGATATTCGTATCAATGCATTTTTATCATTTTATCATTAAGCGATTTAGATTTTTAGACCCCTTAACCTACCCCCAAACCTTAACCTACCCATTTTATAGCGAATATAAAAGGATATAAAACGCAAATGACCGAAATATGCAGGAAAATGACCATTTTAGTAACAATGTAGCATTAAAATATTTTTATAGTCGCCAATTCCACTCCTACCTAGAAACCTAAAAATTTCTGTACAGTATAAGAAAAACATGACAGACAGATAAATGCAATTACAATACGAATTATCATGAGATCACGTTGGCAGGAGACACACAGAGGCAATTAAGTGCGTTGGGTTCATCAACCATGCGCGCCATCAGCCATGTCTTAATGAGTGGCGTGTGGGCAGCAGTCGAGGTGTTACCCCTTGGATGACATTGACACATCAGCCCTCCAGTGCTGCAGGAGGGCCTGCACTTCACAAATGACCCAATACATGGTGCTAACCTTGTCTTTTCCTATCACCTCAACCACATGCTTTATGAGAGTTCTCACTATTTATTATGCTACATTAAAGATCAAAGAAGTATCATTCACTGCTATACAGGGATAGTTCACTCAAATGAAAAAAAAAAAAAAAAAAAAAAAAAAAAAAAAAATTGTAACTAGTAAAAATGGCAAAACAAAACTACAACTACATTACTAAAACTTTAACTAGAATTAAAATAAAAATGGAAGATATAAAAATAAAAGCAAATTTAAAATATTAATACCAATATAATAGTATGT